AAAGTCAAATTTGTCATTCACTGCTTTAGAATTCTTCCTACAGTTAAAAGGGAAAAACAATCATGATTCGTCAGTATTTTGACAGATGCATGCTATGTTTCCTTTCCACACATGACTAATGATGATGAAAAACAGGAAGTTGTAGGGATTGCAGGGAGGAGTGGTATAATGGCAAGAAGTTTCCATCTCTAAATATGTTAAACACTGGAATCTCAAAACCATAGCGAAACAATTTAAGAAATCTCAAGCTATTATAGAATTCGGAATTTTTGAATGATGTATCATTTTAGATTGGTCAGAAATGATTTTTATGTTTTATTTTTATTTTTGATTTAGGTATAATTGACTAATGATGTATTCCTACACTTGATTTAAGCCAAAAGGCCGAGAAGCAAGAATGATGTATTTCTAAAAGAATATTACAAATGAATTATTTCAAATGCATGAAAAACAAAAGTATTCCCTGGGTAAAAGGGAATATAATTTCCCCCAAGGGATGATTCCTAAATAAAGAAAAGCCTATATTCATGTGAATCTTAAAGGCCCTGAGCTGGAGAGAATGCTTCATAACAGCATCAAGACATAAACATATTTAGTGTACAATTTCTCAAGAAAAACATCCTTGGAGAGGCCATTTAAGTCATATTGGAGCTCTTTTTAAAAATTGAAAATGGCCAGACTATCAATTATTCCTCCTCAAATAACAACAAAAAAAAAATTGCCAAGACTAATTTGTAGGAAGAAAACAGTGTATTCTCTTTCTTATCCAACTAGAGCAGTATCAATGATTAACCATTTGGATTTAAATATATAAATAAAAACACTACATTCTCCTACATAACATGCATGTATTTTTCGTAGAACAAGAAACATTCAGTGACTGGGTACCCCTTCCCCAATTCTGTCTTTGATCTTTGATACTCCACACACTGCCAACACTGTGCCAGTTGTATAAGGACTAGATTTTACAGAGAAAGTCTGTTTACTGACAAGGTAATTTAAGATTTCTTTATACCATATAGGTTGGGGAGAGGGCATGTTTGTTGTATTAATTTACACTGAATACTAATTAGGCCTTCAGACGAATTTTGACATTAAATGCAGATGTAAAATAGAGTAGCTAAAGCAATATTTAGGGAAGTTTATTAGAGTAAAGAGGTCAAGGGCCGGCCGGGTGGCGCAGTTGGTTAGAGTACAAGCTCTGAGCAACAGGGTTGCCGGTTCGATTCCCACATGGACCAGTGAGCTGTTTCTGAGCTGAGCTGCCGCTGAGCTGCCAATGGGCAGCCGGATGGCTCAGCTGGTGAGAGTGCGTGCTCTTAACAATAAGGTTGCCGGTTCGACTCCCGCATGGGATGGTGGGCTGCACTGCCCCCCCATTCCCCCACCCACAACTAGATTGAAAGCGGCGACTGGACTTGGAGCTGAGCTAGCACCCTCCACAACTAAGATTGAAGGACAACAACTTGACTTGGAGCTGATGGGTCCTGGAAAAACACACTGTTCCCTTCTCCAATTCCCCAATAAAATTAAAAAAAAAAAAGATCAAGATAGACATAAGAATGATGATGGGTTTTATTAATCCCCACCATCAGGGTTACCTTTCCAACAGGTTTATCTTTCAGTTATAACAGCTCTGAACAAGAGAAGGTTCCATGCTGACCACCTCTATTGCAAAAACAACTTAAAGCACGTACCTTGACAATATGTCAGTAGCTTTCTATAAAGAGTGCCATATGTCCTTTGAAATTTATCTAAACCACCATACACATGTGTTCTTCTTTTGCTACTACGCAGGCTCCCAGTGTTTTAAAGTCCCAGATATACCCGCTTCCTTTCTGAGTTGTGCTAAAAAGATTTTCTTTCCTTTGATATGAAACACCATCATATAGAGAAGGACATTTACAAAACTCTTAGCTACACCCGAAACCGATTCAGAAAATAAGTCTACAACAGTCTAAATAAGTCTTCCTGTAGGTCCTTAAGTTCTACTTAATACCAAGAGACAGCATGCCTAAGACTCATTCAGCACCTTGACACATTGTTGACATGCATTGGTAAATAATTGGAACAATGACACCTCAGGAAATGACTGAGCACTCTATCATCTATGACCCTCACTGGGCACCTGTTTATCCTCCTCAGTGCTAACACAGACAATACCAAGAGGAAGAAGACTTCTTGGAACCTTCTTACCTCATGAAAACATCTCAGTTTGAATGTGGTAGCACTTCAGGAAAAGAATTTTTTTAAATTTAATATAGACTTTACTCTAGACTCTTAACGTAAGAAAACTTAAGAATCACAAGGTAATCCTAGTCATCACACAGTCATCACCCAATGAGTTCCTCGCCATTAGCTAGGTACAAGTAGCTACGGAGCACTTGAAATGTAGCTAGTCTGAATCCAGATGTAGCCTAAGTGTAAAATACACAGATTTAGTACGAAAGAAAGAATGAAAAATATCTCATTAACTTTTAAAATTGATTACTTGTTGAAATGATATATAGGATTAAATAAAATAGATTAGTAAAAATTAATTTCACCTGTTTCTTTTTTACTTCATTAACGTAACTAGAAAACTTTAAAATGCTTATGCTGCTTGCATTATCTTGCCATGAAGTACGCAGTACTGCTGTAGACCTGCAGCCTTAATTCCAACAGCAAACAGGAATTACCACTTGGAATTTCCCATTACAACTGCCATTTAAAAGTCAAAAGAAAAAAGTGGTAGTTTCCCTTCTCTACCAATTAAATTAAGATAGTAACAAAAATAACTTAAGAAGAGTGTAAAAATCACCGGAATCACTTTGCTCTGACACCATTTTAAAGAAAGTACCTCAAAAAGGCAAAAATAGCACAGGATGTAAAAACCACACCTCTTAAAGAAAGATGGAAATACACAAAGCAAGTTTTTCTAATAGGGTAGGCCTAAAAGCTAATTATTAGGTTCGCCTTTAATGTGAAAAGGACATGTCTTTCATTTCCAGCACCTGGGGCCTTAGAAACAAAACATAAAAGATTCTGTCTCCATTATTCAAGCACCTTCAATCACAAACAAGCCATTAACATTATAAAAAGGGAAATAATTATCACAAGTAATTCTCTTTTCCAAAACGCAAAGAAAATAACACCAGTCAAAAGCAAAACGAACAAAAAAATACATCAGCTTCACTGAGGCTGAGTAGGCTGACTACCTTTGGTCCACAAATATTATGAACTAAGAAAGCATATTTTAAAGTAAGTATTTTGAAACCACAATTTTGTAAAGTATATTTTAAAAGTGAGACATTCAACAACACATTCTATGAGTGAACCATCTTTTTTTCTACCGTAAGACATCATTCTGATTTGATTTAAAACTGTTTAGGCCTCCAGGGCTTTTGGGGGGGGGAAAAATCCATGTATTTCTGAATCTATGAAAAAAAATTTTTTAAGGGGAAGGGGAGAACAGCTCAGTAAAGGATTGCGGTGGGGGGTAAGCTTTTTCAGGTGTTCAGAGGATGCAAAAGTTACTTCTAGAAACTTGTCAATAGGGATACTGCATAAAAAAAAATTTACGGAAATTTAGATCAGTGAGTCCCCAGGGCTTCCACAACAGTTGATTAGATACTTTCCATGGTGTCCTAACAAATTTATAGTCCAAAAAAGGGCCATATTTGACTGTCAATTCTTTATCTGAGATTCATCAGCTGAGTATAATCTTCAGACTTCTACTTGCTAGATGATACATTCCTCAGATACCTTTTCCTTGTGCATTTAAATGCTAGCTCAATTACACCCTCAACAAGTAAGGAAAGGATTGTACATATTTTTAAATAGGGAGTAGATTGGCTGCAGTTTCCTGCCTTGGTGGAAAGGGTAAGGGGCAAAGCTTTCTGAGTATAATCCTTAAACAGTGAAATCACTCGCAAAGAATCAAGTCTTCTAACATTGCCCAGTGGGTAAAAAGACTGCCAAAATTTCCATTAGAGCATCCTATTTTTAGTCTTTGGAACTGGCCTTTTAAATTGCATTCCACAGTCCCAAGTTTATACAGGGCACAGAATAACCTTCCTAAGTTCTTAATCTTTTTAAGCTTAGAAAGGAATTTTAAGCTTTTAAATCTTAATTTTTTTAAAAAAATCTTAACTTTAAATCTTTGAAACACATTAAAAATCAAGGAAATATTGGCCCGGATGGAGGAGCAGAGAAGACATACCAGGTGGTGCTTGACAACCTAGGTGGTGGTGGTGGGGTGGGTACGATAAAACAGGTACGAAGGAACATGGAAACCATCCATCAGGGATGGGAGCGGGGGCTGCGGGCAGCAGGACAGAAAGGAATAGAGAGGCACAGTGGAAGCCGCAGGCTCCTGGGGGAGCTGGGCGAGGAGCGACTTCTGGCGCTGGTCCCCAAGGGAGGGAGAAATTGGCGCGACACGCAGCAACAAACCACAGAGGCTGGAGAAAAGACAGGAAAACAGGAGAGCGGGGAGGGGGCGGAGGTGGGGGAGCCGGGATACACCTCATCCAAAGGGCAGAGGCGGCGCAGCCGGAGGAGGACAGCGCAGGGGGAGGAGCGAGGGGTTCCAAGAGGCTTTGCACCCCAGGCGCGATCTGGCAGGTCCCCTGCATCCCGCTCTTGCTCTCCTCACCTGGGAACTGAGAGGCGAAAAGAGGGCTACCGCTGGGCGCCGAGGCTGTTTCCAGCTCCACTCGCTGACATGGCGGCCGACGAGCTGTCACAGAGCTTGCTCGGGTCTCCCGCCGCTCGGGTGGAGGAGACACCTCTGCCTTCTCGCCCCGCCTCTCTCTCTCTGCGCACCCCTCCCGGCTGGGCCGCCCGCGACCGCGGAGCATAGAGCGAGAGCGGCTAGAGAGGAAGCGCAGCGGGCGGACGACCATAGAGTTCGCAGCCCGGATGATCTATCTCCTCCTCAAGCCACTCACAGTCCTCCAGCGTCAGCCCCGGGCCGGAAACGGAAGTGACGGAAACGCAGAGGGAGGTTGTTCGCACGCGCAGTTCGTAGTGGTTACTTCCGCCCGGTCTAGTTGGGCGATGCGTCGTGTTGCACGTGGGGTTCCCAGTGTGGCGTTCGCTGGCGATGTAATGATTCTGGGTGACATTGGGACGGACCCTAGAGGGTGAGGATGTGGGCTCCAGTGGCGGGGCTTCCTCCGCGGCTGACGCTGTCAGCCTTTTCCGGGGCTGGTCGCTTTTGCGTTTTGAGGCACAGAGCGGCGAGGTGGAAGGACGTCCCAGCCAGGAACAGCCGTGGTTTGTCTGACTTCCACCCGCAGCTGTTGCCCAGTCAGGGTTTCGGAGATTCGCCCTCCTGGCTGTCCAAGTGCCGCTTCGAGGCCAGGCATTACCTAATCAACCCGAAACTAGCGGAGACCGTGGTGCAGATCCTGTGGGACAAACAAGACGCTTGCAAGGTATTCCTGGAATGCAATCCAGGTGAGTCAGCCGGGGACTGCATTTTCTTGGACGTTCATCACTTCTGCAGACCCTTGTTGACCAGCCGTGGGTTGCTGTATGAGACCCCTTCCTTTAAGCAGCTTATTACGGTCTGTGTTAATCATGACAGCACAAAATATTCCTATAGCAGTTTGCACTTGCCACATTTGGAGAGAGCATGCTGTTCGAGTTCACCGTCTCCCCACGATAGTTGCAACTTTGGTCTTACCCTTCAGGTATCTCCGATAGACCATTGTTCGCAGGATGCTGAGAACAGGAGATTTATAGACTTTTTTTGAAAAATAGCTTTTTAAAGCCCCATTTCCTATCATGAGAAAGTTCTGTGTAGGTTAGCCAGTATCTTTGATGGTAAGAGTATCCGGATATCCACGAGGAAATGGTAGGCTAGAGGCAACCTTTTTGTTTGCTTTTTTTTTTTCTAGAGATAAAGTGAAGCATTGTGATTCAGGGTGCAGGTTTTGCGGTTTTTGACAGAATGGATTCAATGCCAGGCAGAAACATTGGAGTCAAGTGACTGCAACTAGTCCCCTAGTTTCCTTTTATGTAAATAAGGAGTATAACATCTACTTTGGGTATATTGTAAGGATTAAAATTAGGTAGTGCAGGTAAAACATCTCATTTCTTTGGTATTGAAGGAAATTATGTTTCTTTGGTCAATAATCTTTTTCGTTCTATTCCTGTACTAGGTCCTGGAATCCTGACTCAAGCATTAATTGAAAGAGGTGCCAGAGTGATTGCCCTTGAAAGTGACAGAACTTTTATTCCACATTTGGAGGTATATTTTTAGTTTCTAAAAATAACTTATTGTTGAGTCAGCTCTCTGCAGAGGTTTAGGGAAGTAAAATTAAGCACACAGTTTATTTTTGTAGAATCACTTTTAGGGACCATGCCTTAAATATCTGTCATCCCCAATGACTAGAGCATAGTAAGTATCAGTGCTTGTTGAATGACTAAAAGATAGGCGTTCTGAGACTTGTTTATTGCTTCTAACTCTGCTGCAGACTAGTTGGGTGACTTTGCACAAAGTATATAGCTGGTATCTATAGGCTTGTTTCCTTGTCTCTGGTAAGCTATGTTGTGCCCCTGCTTTCTGAGCTTGGAAGCTAATTGGGTACTAAGATCAGGTTACTGGCCTGTATTAACTCTGGACTTAGGGTACGGAGGTTAAGAAAGGCTTGGTATGATCAGATACAATTGCATGGAGTGAAGGCATTATCCAGATGGATTTTTCAGTGACTTCTGCTTCTATATAGCAGACACGTTCACATGACAGTGAAGTGGAAATCTTTACATTGTTGGCAGCCTCTTCCTCTTCCTCTTCCTTTTCTTTGTCCCCTTCCTCTTTCCCTCTTTTATAAATCTCGAGATTCAGTTTAGGAATCTTATACTTCTCTATGCCAACTTTCTGAAACCACGTAAAATGGTGTTAACTAAAAGTGCAGGATGGCAACAGAAAATTGTGGAAATGTCTACCAAATCCAGCTGTTTATTAACAAAACTGTGTGCATTAGATGGTTGTATTCTACACCTGACTGCTTTAAAAAGAATTCAAGGTTGTAGCTAGGTTATTTAATTGATGCGAAAATCTGCTGGAATTTGAGAATCATGAAGAAAAAAATAACACACATTGTTCAGAGATTCATGGTCATGAAATGTGATTTAGTAAACATAGCCATCTGTAATTTCAACTTGGAATTAAAAAACAAGATAGCTTTTATCTTGATCTTTTAAAAAAAGGCCTACTTTTGAAAATTAATCTACATGTTCACAAAATAATTAAGGTGGCATTAAAATGTCTTTCTGTTTACAGTTTATTATCCTGTACCACAGTAGTTGCTTTTTTATAAGATCAAGGTAACAGTTTTAATTTTAAAATAATTGATTCAATGAAAAAAGGAGGATTAGGGGCTAAAGAATTCTTGACACACAATATTTCTTACAGGAATATCAGTCATAAAATGTTTCTGAAGCTATGACTGTAAGCACAAAATCTAAAGATCGTTGATTAGAACCAATTTTTGTTCCAGTTAAGGTTTTGATTTTTTTCCTAACTCTCCATTTCCCCCTCCCTTTAGCACTAACTTGAACTTAGTCCTTAGTACATGTTCATTCACTTACTAACCATCTTATGAAGTGAAAAGCCATGCAAATTATGTTTTTTTGTGAATTCATGTATTTGCCAGAATAAAAGAGAAGAAACCATTTAAATAGAACTTTTGCGGCCCTAAATTGCGGTCTTAAAATGTTGCTCTTAGCAGACAATGCTTCTAGCCTCCTGAAGGTTCTCAAGTTTGCTCCTAAAAACTGCAAGGATTTTTAGGGATGATGCTTGACTCTGGATTTTTATCTCTCTTTAGAACCCCACCTCCACCCCCTATTTCCCTGATAAAATTCTTGGGACTCCACACTAACAGTGTTGCAAGCAGGAACAATTTGTATCTGGATGTACTAGAGATACACATGTTACAAATTGTGCTCTATAGTAGGAAATCGTGAACTATCCCATTGAAATTGTGAAACGATTGTTGCAGAAATACTTAGATGTATATGTTCAGTTGAAGAAACATTAGCTTTTGTGGTAAACCGCATCTTCAGCAGGGAAAAAGCAGTCTTTTCAAATCAGGCTGAATCTCAGCCCTAGCACCTACCACCTTTAAGACCCTTGGCCAAGTAAGTAATTTGACCTGTCTGAACCTTGGTTTTTCTGAGCCCAGATGTGGCCTCAGAATCTTTCGTTGCCCAGGGCTCTAGGCAGCCACTGCTAAGGAATTAGAGATTAGTGTGAGGAACCTTTTCGAACAATTGATGATGCCATTGACATAAAGAAAGTAAAAAGATAAGAATTTGTTGAAGGTTTTTTGTTCTGGGGGCTTTTTCTTGGTCAGATTGTTGTACTTTCATTATTTTTCAGACATTAATTGATTCGTATTAACTGTTAAATTTTAGGATATGTTAGTAATGTTTTCTTTACATTTTTTATTGAGGTATTAATATTTTTTATAAGAGGTCTTTTTTGAAGTAAATGTTTGAATTGCTAAAAAGTCTGCATAACACTGAAATTTCTTAACATGTTATCTCTGTCTCTCTTTAGTCCCTAGGAAAAAATCTGGATGGAAAACTAGATGTGGTCCACTGTGACTTCTTTAAACTGGATCCTAGAAGTCATGGAGTGGTAAAACCTCCGAGTGTGACTTCACAGTTACTTTTTCAGAATTTGGGAATAGAAGCACTTCCTTGGTCAAGAGGTAATTTTTGTCATTCACTAAAGCAAATACTGTATAATTTGCCAGCTTTCGGTAGCAGTACACCTGGTTTGTGGAAGAGATTTGTGTACAATTTATGTTATATAATTAATGGGAAGATGCTCTTAAGTTGAATATTGCTTTCCCTCCACTTAGACACAAAGTACCAAGACCCAGACCAAGTTCTATATCAAGGAAACATGCTGAGGCTTAGGTTTAGTTGAAATAAAATTAATATAGTTTGTTAACTTCTTTTGACTTTATAAAATGTGGCCATAGGAAAAAGAATTTTTTCAAGAATTCTTTTAAGAATCTATTCAAATATATTTTTTGCTTGTATTCTTAACAGGTATCCCTTTAAAAGTAGTTGGAATCTTCCCAACTAAAAATGGGAGAAAGACACTTTGGAAACTTTTACATGACATATATTCCTGTACTTCTATATATAGATATGGACGAGTAGAACTAAATTTGTTTATTAATGAAAAGGAATGCCAGGTAGGTTATTAATAAGTACTCAAGTATTTTGTTTGAAAAGAGTTCTCTAGTTTTTCTCTGAGTAGTCTTAATGTATGCAATTGTTTGGGGGGTCTAATGACATTTGAGAGTACTAAGATTGTCTTTAAACTTCTGTAGAGCAATCTTTAGGTTCAAACTTCTTAAGTGTTTTTTGTTTTTTAAATTGTGGCAAATTATACATTACGTAAAATTTACCATTTTAACTAGTTTTCAGTGTACAGTTCAGTGGCATTAAGTACATTTACTTTATGGTACAACTGTTACCACCACCTGTCTCTTCTCAGAACTTGTTCATCATTCCATACTGAAACTCTGTACCCATTCAACACTAACTCCCCACTTTCCTCTCCAAGAGCCTCTGGTAACTATTGTTCTACTTTCTGTCTCTATGAATTTGGCTATTCTAGGTACTTAATATAAATGGAATTATACAATATTTCACTTTGTTTCTGGCTTATTTCATTTAGCATAATGTCTTTAGGATTCATCCAAGTTGTAGCCTGTGTCAGAAATTCATTCCCTTTTAAAGCTAATATTCCATTGTATATATACACTACCTTTTGTTCATTCATCTGTTAGTGGACACTTGGGTTCCCTCCTACCTCTTGGCTATTGTGAATAATGCTGCTCTGAACACGGGTGTGCAGATATCTCTTTGAGTCCCTGCTTTCAATTCTTTTGGGTATATCATTCAGATTTTGATAGGGATTGCATTGAATTTGTTAATCACTTGGGTAGTATTGACATCTTAAAAATATTAAGTCTTAATTCATGAACATAGGATATGTTTTCATTTACTTGTGTTTTTAATTTCTTTCAGCAATGTCGCACAGTTTTCAGTGTACAAGTCTTTCACTTGTTTGGTTAAGTTGATTCCTAATATTTTATTATTTTTGATGCTGTTCTACATGGAATTGTTTCTTTAATTTCCTTTTCAGATTGTTCATTGTTAGCATATAGAAATACAACTGATTTTTGTGTATTGATTTTCATCTCCTGCAACTTTGCTGAATTCCTTTATTCTAACAGGTTTTTATTGTGTGTGTGCGGAACCTTTATAGTTTCAGACTCCCCTTTTAAATCCCTGATATGGAAGGGCCTCCTGAAGTCCCCGATACTGCCTTGAGTGTAATGTTTCTTTTCTGCACAGAATGCCCCATGTATTAATAATTTAATCCAATGTAACTGGAGAAGCTTATTTGTATGTAACAGAGCAATGGGTTAGGATAGTCGGGCAAGAAAAGAAGGGATGATTTGGTCACCAAGACCCAGATAGTAAGTAAATAGTCATTATCTGTGGAAGGAGAGCTGGGGCTCCGAACCTTGAGGCTGTACATACTGTAAATACATGAAAGAATGAAAGAGACACAGGAAATGCTTTATCATGCTTCATCTTGCTGCTAGGAAGGTGTCCTAATGCTTCTTTTACCATGGACCTTTTCACATGTGGTTTCTTCTCTCTGTAGTGCTCTCGCATTCACAAAGATAAGAGGTAACCTCTTACCTTTCACGTGTCAGCGGAAACAATTCTTAACTCAAAATTGAATAGCCCACCTGATACACATTTCTAACCTGTTCTTGTCCACAGTAATGATACATTTTTGTTTCAATTTTTCTTAATGAGATTTTTGCCCTGGGTTAGATATGGTTAAAGGAAATCAATCTCAAATATGTTCTATTTTAAATGTTGTGATGATATATTTCAAGATAAAAGTTTAAAAGGCCTCTCTTCTTTAAAATGTTTACAGTCAAGATTTTTCATTTAATTTTTTTTTTTTTTTACTTTCTAGATACTATTAAGATAACACTGTTAAGATCCAGCATTTGATTTTGATTGACTATAGTTTTGTGTAACATAGACCTTCTGTTTTCCTTCCACTAGAAGCTAATGGCAAATCCTCAGACTCCACGCCTGTACCAAGCATTAAGCGTGCTCTGGCAAGTGGCTTGTGAGGTGGAACTGCTGCATGTGGTAAGTGAAAACCTTCCAGATTTCAAAAGAGAACTAGATTATTTTCAGAGAGGCTACATTTCTGTGAGCAGTAAATGGAGAAAAATTCAAAAGTAATTTTATTATTTTCCCAACTGTTAAAGATAGTAGAGCCAGGTAACTTTGTGCTGCTGTTTTTATCCCAAATACTTATGTTTTTCTCTGATTATAAAAATAACATGTACTCATTGTAAAAATGTGAGACATGTTCAAGAAAGAAAAGAAGAATTAAAAAAGAAAAATCAACACTGCAATGCTACTACCCAGTGGTCACTATTGACATTTGTGGCGTATTTTCAGTCTCTTATTTTTCCTATGCTTTTTTTTCTTTATGTAGTGAAGATTATATTATTTTGTACCTTATTTTTTTCACTTGATAGTTAATAGTTAATTATAAGTTCTTCCCTTGTCCCTGAACATTTTTCTTAAGTTTTTAATGGCTACTTAATACTTCATTATAGAACAGTCCCTATTTTAGTTTATTTCCTTAGGCAAGATCAGAGTTGTCTAATAGAAATACAATGCAAACCACTTATGCAAATTTACATTTTTTAGTAACCACATTATAAAAAATAAAAAGGAATCAGGTGAAGTTAATTTTAATATGTAACTATCTCAATTCAAAATATGGTCATTTCAGTGTATAATCAATATTTTAGACTTAATTATTACATAGTTTACATTCTTTTTTTGTGTGTACTAACCCTTTGAAAAGTCCACTGTGTATTTTGCAACCCACATCAATTCAGACTAGACACATTTCAAGTGTCAATAGCCACTTGTGACTAGTGGCTACCATATTTAATAGCAGAAGGCTAGAGTGTAAGAAAAAAATGATAAATACTATTTCTTTCATATCATAGTTTGCACATTTTGTTTTTTATTTTAGTAGGTAGACTAGAGAGTATATCTCATTTTTATAGGGTATGTGTTTATATATTTTATGAGCCCTTGTTCTTCCAAGGATGTATTGGTTTAATTTATTGCAGTGCGTCTTCATGGAGTCTTTTTATTGCTTTTGTCCAGGACCACAGTAAACCCTTTAATGTGTATACTTAATTGTTAGAATATCATCTCACTTGATTTTAGCATTGGTTCCAATTATGTTTTTATTCCCTCCAGAACATATGAAGTTCTTTGGTTGGGTCTCATGCTTGTCTTTCATATCTATCATGCTCTTATCGTTTTCCTGTATTCCCAGAAATCTTTTCACACTTAGCCTTCGCAGCACTGACCCTGCTTTCTGCCTGCACTGTATGTTGTCGTCTTGGTATATAGTTCTCGGTTGCCCTAAAATCCTTTCTTACTCCACTGATCTCATTTCATTTTGTAGTCTTTTCATCTCAGCCTCTTCTGTCCTTGTGACGTTCAGCTAGTTTTATAGAGGCCCCCCGGGGACTGCAGCTTTCCGGATAGTTTTCTTGTTCTGCAGTATTTGTTTTCAAAGGCCCTGTGTTGAGTTTTGCCATTTTTAACCTCCAGAAAGGAGAGGTCTTTGTGGACCCAACATTTTTAACATTTGTCCATTAAATATCTTCAACTGGAGGGTCGGTTGTGGAACTCAATTCCCAGGCTCTTACAGGCTCTCCTCTTCTGTGACTTTGGTAGATGGGAGTGAGGTGTCCTCTGTACCCACTGCTGTGAGCAGGCCCGTGTGGGGGGAGCAGCAGGGCCCACTGCACGCTGCTGCTGCCGCCGCTGCTGCTGCAGCTTTGCTTTCCCCACTTAGTGACATTCCTGGAACTTCTGGGAATTTTCCAGCTGGGCCTCAGTTACCTTTCTCACGCCACTTCAGTTGCTACTATAGTTAGTAAAAAATTACAATTTTTGACCTTTCAAACTTGTGTTCATTCAGTATTGTAGGTTGTAGTCTTTTAAGTCTGTGGCAGATACTGTTTTAACCACTCTTATTTAATGGGTGTGGGTGCATACTTTTTGATATTTTTCAGTTGGGTCATCTTTTAAAATTGCTTCACATACAAAATTGTACTTGAAAAAGTTAGATACAAATTGACACAGGTGTCTTTATTTGTGTATCTCCTTACATGTCCCGACATATTCAAATCAGTTTGACTAATAGTCTTTTCTACTAAAATACAGCAAAAATATCCTCAGTATTGATCTGATAGCCCCTAAACTGATTGTGACTCTAATATGGAAATGTTGGCTATTAAATGTTGTAATTTGAGAATCTATTTGTTTAATAGTATTAAGGATAACTTTCTTTTACATTTTGCCAGATGAGAGGGGGGTTAGGGATGGGTGTAAGAGGGGAAGGGATTAAGAAGTACAAATTGGTAGTTACAAAGTAGTCATGGGGGTGGAACGTACAGCCTAGGGAATATAGTCAGTAATATTGTAATAACCATGTATGGTGCCAGGTGATCACTTCGTAAGTTATATAAATGTCTAACCACTAGGCTGTACACCTGAAACTAATATAATATTGAATGTCAACTGTAATAGAAAAATAAAAAATCAGTTTAAAAAAAGGGTAACTTTCTTTTATTTAAGTAAGTAATAGTTACCAATATTGGGGTAGACCTTTGATTCTCCTTTCCTGTAACCAACAACAACAACACAACAAAACAAGAAGAGAGGAGAGATGTATATAATTTAACTATCACATGTTTCTCTTGAATCCAGTTAGACTGGTGACTTGGGTTCATTCTGTTGTTCAGGCAGGTTATTTTCCAAGGCAGCAATAATTTGGGGGCACTTGGACCAAAGAGAACTAAAAGAAATGTTTCTGTTTATCTTCCCTCAAGGAGCCCTGGTCATCATTTGACATATACACGCAAAGTGGGCAACTGGAAAAGCCGAAGTGCAAGGTAAGAGGGAATGACCACAATTATACTTTTCCCATCTCCTCTAGGGAGAGCAGCCTGTTGTTTTCTTTAAGGTTATCTGGTATTCATTATTTATTTAAAATTTTAATTTTAGAATACCTAGAAATGTTCTTTAAACATATCTTACTGCTTTTAATAAATTCAAATTATTTTGAAAGAGAATTGTGTTTTTCAGCTATTTATACAGTGGATGTTAGCATAGTAATAGGCTTGAACATAGAATCTTCCATTTTTATTTGGAAATGAAGATAAATCTCAAATTTGGAAAATATAACCATTTAAATATTCATTTAATTTGGCAAACTAGTAACAAAATTTTATGCCTTATTAATAAATCAGAAATTTGTAATAGTACTATGGTTGAATTCATCAACTGGTATATCTGTTGCTTACCCAGGGTGTGAGGCTTTTCTTTTTCTTTTTTTTCCCCTCTTTCTAAATAACCAAAGTGATGATGTTATAAAGTGATCCTCCATTTAGTTTCTATCAGGGTACTCGTAGAGAGGTTGTAATAAAGTAGTTGAAGTTTCAAAAACAATTTTTGAACTAAATTCAAAAGTTCCACTTTAGGATCGAATGCTAATGATACCCTGTCCCATCATATCAGCTCAATTTGAAGTTCCCATTTGCTTCTTTGGTTTTTTTTCTCACTCTTGCCAGTAAAGGGAAAAAAGAAAATTATGTTTCCCACAAATAGTATTTCTATTTATTGTATATATGTTTAAAAATAATGTAGGGCCGGCCGAGTGGCTCAGTTGGTTAAGAGCTCGCTCAAGAGTTTGAGCTCTGAGCAACAGCAGTTCAAGTCCAGCCCGAGCTGAGCAGCCGCTGAGCTGCAAAAAAAAAAAGTGAAGGAAAAATAATGTAAATAAGGAATCACTACCTAATATTTGAGATTTTCTAAGGAAACATAAAGTTCCCTCTTTTATGAGGAATAATTTTAGGGGAAAAAACCATCTTAACCTTACATCAAGTAATACACAGTTTTTATTTGAATTTGTATGATATTATATACTGGAGCAGGTTGGCAAATTTTTTCTGTGAAGTACCAGATGGTAAATATTTTATGCTTTGCAGGCCGCATATACTCTCTTATCACATAGTCTTTTGTTTTTTTGCTCTCTCTTTTTGAAAGTCCTTTACAAATGTGAAAAACATTCTTAGCTCCACACTACAAAAACAGGCAAGCAATGGACCACAGCTTGCTAACTCCATATTTTTAAAAAATATCCAATTAAAAATTATAAGTCAATATTTTATTATCCTTGGGATCTGCTCTTGTACCTTAAATAGAGAAGAGACTCAGTCCATGCTAGTGTCGTGTTTGGTATTTGATTTTCCCCTACTACACGTTAATAAGCTGTTACTCTTTCATGGTGGTGGCCAGAGACACAGCCTCCTGGATCAGACCAAGGGTCTGATTTGCGCCCACGTCCTGCAGAGTGATGTGACGTGACGTGACGTGGCTCGGGTGGACGGTGCACGTGCAGTGGGTTTGCAATGCAGTTGAGGAACAAACACAGAGCTGGAGGGTCTGCTCCCTTGATAGCAAACATTCAGCAAGCTGCCTTTTTGTCCTAGAGGGAGACATTACCTCACCCCTCCAGGTGTCTCACAGCTAGCACCCCTGAGAGGGCCCAGGTAAAGAGTGCTTAGAGTCCTGCATGCTTGGCACAGCCACCAAGGACGGACAGGGACGTTCAGGCTCTGTGGCGATTGCCTCTTCCAACGTGGAGCTTGAATGAGCAAGTGAACTGTGTTTTGCTCTGAAAATATCTTAGGACTAACACCATTTATTTTCCCTTCTTTGCAGGAGTCATTGGAAGAAATGAAACAAAACCTGTGTTTTATTCGACTGACTCCCCGTAGAAATTTATTTACAGAAAACTTAACACCTGTTAACTATGATGTATTTTTTCACATGTTAAAGCAGTGTTTTATGAAGCGCAATGCCAAGCTAATAGACCACTTATGGTAAGTAAAGTAGCAATTAATGTGAGAATTATACTTTCATGTCAAAGGTCCTTTTTTTCTATCTTGTATATCTTAATTAACAGAGTGAGGTACCATGTTTTCACTCATTTATTTCTTCAAAATACTTCCTTCTCCCTGGTGCACACTTTGAGAAAAATACAAAGGATGCCAAAAAAATGTATATACATTTAAGAAAGGAAAAAACTGTATTAAAATTGTAATACGCACTCAATACATACCGATAACAAAAGATAAATACAAATCATGTTATACATTTATTTGGCACCCCCAGTATAATTACATTTTCCACATAGTATCCTGAGCTTAATTTTTTATTTCCTTTGAAAAAACAACAAGGGATGCCTATCTTTGTCAGAGTTCAGGCCCAGAACGAGCTGCTTACCATTGGCTGGAGTGGAAAAAGGCAGCATAAGTGGTGGCAGACCCGCCATCTACCTGTCAGTGCCTGTCCTCACTGGTTCGTTTTATTTGCTAACAGAATAGGGATAGATCATTATACCACCCTCGTTTTCCTGCCCTCGACCAGAGTTTTTGTTTTTACCTAAAGCTTTATAAGAACTATAGCTGTTACTACCTACTTTGTATCTGTATAAGTATGATTTTTATGTAGGACTGATGTGTACAGTTCTGTGAATGATACATTGCACCTTGTAGTCAGCAGCCCACAGTTATTCATAGTATTGTCAGAGAATGGACAAAATGTTAATCATTTTAATTAATTTGGTGTTCATTAAATATATTAACTGAATGAGCTGCTGGTTGGACAATATTTATGTAAAAATAAATGTTAAAAGTGACAATAGACTAATAAAAAATCTATTTTTTATCTTGTCCCCTTGTGGTAGTGGCTATTTTGAATGAAAATACCAAGAATATAGGAAATTAAGGAAAAATATGGTAAACTGTGGTACAAAATTTTAAAAATTCCCCTTGAGATCTCTGAATTGAAAGCACTTTTACACCTGTGACTAGGATTCCATTCAAAATCAAAGTGTTGGAAATATTTCCTACCAAAATATATTGTTGTGGTTGTTTACTTGTTGTTGTCAGTGACTTGCTAATGGTTTCTTGCTAGGCTAACATATAAGGCAGCTACCTGTTTTATAATTTATTCACCAGTAATTATTACAAATAAAGTATTTGAAGGTTATTCCCTCTTTGAAAATTGCCAGATAGCAGTTTCTGCATTTCAAACTTACTGAACTTTTACATGAACCTAAATGGAGTTAAGAATATTTTTGCAAAGAGAGTTAAAAGAAGACAGAAATAGGCAGAAAAAATTTTTTAAAGAGCAATGTTAAACTAACGTTTTGTGTAGACATCAGTTAGAACATATTAAAGTCTAAATCTGCTCTTTTCATTACAGGTAAGCCACAAAACTTTAGGAATAAACATAGTTAAAGCCATATATTAGATGCATGCTCTTAAACAAGAGAATTCTATATAATATGTTAGACATTTTAAATTGGGCTTAGAAGCCATCTCTGTCAATATTAACTGACAGCTGTTACGAAAAAGAATTAAACAAATTTGATTTGCATTTCTTTTGCAGTTCATTGAGTCCAGTTGATGCAATGGATATATTGAAGCAAATAAGAAAAAAGGAAAAAACAAAAATAACAAATATGTATCCTCGAGACTTTAAACACCTTTTTGAAACGATAGAGTGCTCCAAAGGTTATACCTGTAAGTGGCTATATGATGACTTCATGGAAGACATAATCACATAGGGAACTGGACTGTGAAGATAGTAGCTGGAGCCACTGGTTTAATTTGTAAATTATAACACTAATGAAGAAGAACTAAGCTTGAAAAGCTTACATCTGTTCAACAAAAGGTAATGTTCTTGTTTTGCACAAACTAGGCAGATCATCTTCTGAAGTTTGTACCATTAGTACATTGGAGAAAACAGTGGCCGCTATTTTATTCACAACTGAAGAAAATGAAAACTTCAGTTAATTGTGGATTTGATCAGCTTGGATTTGTTTTGTTTTAAATTCCCATCTACTGTCAACATACTGGTAGTTGTAGGGTATTACCAGATGAAATTTAGTTTAAAAAATCCTTTTGGCCAAATACAGTGTATTAATTTAAATATTCCACTTTCACTGTTCCTTTTTGCAGCCTCCTAGGGGGCAAGAGTTTGTACATTTTTAAGTTTAGAAAGTAAACTGATTTAAGTGTTTGTTTCACTTGTCAGTTTGTTGAACTGTATCAAGTACTGTGCAATGAAATTATTTAAATTTTAATATGGTTTAAACCTTCTTAGAAATTAAAATATTTTAAATAATAAAACTTTGTGGATTTTTTTTTGGGGGGGGGGTCCCCCATCTAATGAACGAAAAATTGATCCTCACTTACTTACTTTAAATTCTGTCGTGTATGTACTTTCAGTGAATAATTCAGTCTGTTATTCAAAAGTCGCCTGCATTTTTGTTCCATCAGGAAAGTTTATCTGAAGTTAGACCTTTACATGAACCTAAATGTAATTAAGGATATTTTCTTAGACTATTGAAGGAGCTACTGGATTTTAACTGTGACATATCTAATCTCCTCAATTAGATTTGTTTGCTGTTACACTTCTTAACACCTAAGGCATATTATTAGGAAGTAACTCTTTGTAGGGCGTGTTCTTAATAACACTGAGTCAAACCAGCTCTTCCCAACTTCCCTACATTGGTTTACAAATCAGTCTGGCTGGAAACTCTTGAATCCTCATCTCTCTCTCGTAATTTCTATCCTGCCAGCACATCATCTGCCTAATCATAATGTCATTCAGTTTTCCTCCTGTTTCTTTCTCAGTCCTGTGTCTTAAGCCTGAATTTCTCCTGAAGCTACTTAAATACCTCTCTTTTATCTTCCAGTCCATCGTGTTTATTATTGCCATCATTATCTTTGTGAAACATCTACTTCACCATAAACTTTTCTAAGGCCTTGGTTTCCAAATGGGTAATAGTGACATCTACCTCTGAGGATTATTGTCAGGAGTAAATGAGTTAAGAAAGCGCTCAGCAGAGAAGCTGACAGAGAGGTGGCTATAAAAGTTAGTGTGATGTATTATCTTCTCCGCCCCCTCCTATACAGGTAGCCAGAGGCCTCTGTGCTCTCTTCATTCTGCATTCAAAAAACTAGAATTAAAAAAGAGAATTGTCTGTTCAGTAAAAGATGCAAATGATTAATGAAGCTTATTATGTGGAGGTAGTTGCTCACAGTAGCATTAAGGTGTCCCAAGAATTTGGAATGAAGGTTAGGCTTATTGTTACCAGTAAAAACCCAGAGGAGTCAGTAGTTTCCAAAGCCTCTAGAGCAGCGGCTCTCAACCTGTGGGTTGCAATCCCTTTGGGGGT